GCATCCACCTCTAATGATCATACGCAATACATCTGATAATCAATAATATTTACCATAACTGTCTAGACCAGCATTATTTCCACTTCTGCTATTTTATATTGTACATCATTTTTAAATATCCTAATATTATTTGTAGTATTTTTGTATTTGTATAAATTATTCCTAACATTTATCACTCATAAATAGTCGTATATATTCAGCATTAATACACACAAAACAGACCCTGGTAGTACAGTGGTAGCACACCCGCCCCGCGTGCGATGTAGTATTAGTTCCTCCTGGGGGAGCCGGTCGGCCGAGCGGACAGCACGCTGGACTTGTGATCCTGTGGTCCTGGGTTCGATCCCAGGCGCCGGCGAGAAACAATGGGCAGAGTTTCTTTCACCCTATGCCCCTGTTACCTAGCAGTAAAATAGGTACCTGGGTGTTAGTCAGCTGTCACGGGCTGCTTCCTGGGGGTGGAGGCCTGGTCGAGGACCGGGCCGCGGGGACACTAAAAAAGCCCCGAAATCATCTCAAGATAACCTCAAGATAACCTGGCCAGGGAGGATTGACTGGGACTCAGTCTGTAACTATTCACCCTTCAGTAACTCGGTACCTGGTTATAAACCGATTGGTGGATAGTGTTCCAGGGAAAACAAGTGGGGTAAGGCTTAACATGAGCTATGGGAAGGGTAAGAACTCGTCTTAGTCCCCATTGGCCAAACTATTATGAATTAACGACAAGACCTACCATTAATGTATGATGACTTACTGTAAATATGTAGCTCTTGTAATAGCACTTTCTCTGTAACTAGCTGACATTGTATCTATAAGGTGTGAAGGATTGAAGAAATTGTTTGTAATAATCTAAGATGAGGTCTGATAAAGACCTTTTGTGCCCTCTGTAATGCTTTTGCGCTACCGCTCACAGGATGAGTATGGGGTGCACAATAAACTAGCCGCCTTCGGCGGCAACAATCAAATCAATCAATCGTCTTACACAAGGGAGTCAGAAGTCGTCTGAACCGTCCTGTATAAAAAGTGATAAAAAGCACTCGTTCTATAAACTATGTTTTATTTTTAATAAATACTTTTTGTATTGATATAAATATTACTGACATCCTCGAGTCTAGAATTACCAAGTCCCGATTCTGTTTCATATATTTCCTTGTACCGCTGGTGAAGCCTCGCTTCGCAAGAGGCTTCGACACCACCTAGTTGTGGCAAATACCTTCTCGTCCAGGGTGTAGGCTCAGCCCGGCCATACCCGCCCTCGTGTAATGAGTTATGGTAGAAGTAAGTTGTTTTTATTGGTGTCGCCAGAGGCGGCTAGTTTATTGTGCACCCAATACTCGTCCTGTGAGAGGTAGCGCAAAAAAGATTGTACAGAGAGCACAAAAGAGAGATTACACCTATCCTGCACACGTTATAATTATTCTGTCGGTAAGAGATTGCTCAATTTCAAAAGCTATGTATTTATAGTAATCATTATACATTTATGGTAAGTCTTTTTGCTAATACTTAGCTGTTTAAGCTATGGAGGTATTACAGCGTCATAGGAAAGCTGTCGTTTATTATTATTATTATTATTAATAGTAGTAAGAGTAGTAAGAGTATTATTATTGGTGTTATTATTGTTAGTATTGTTAATGTTAGTATTAGTATTGTTAGTGTGAGTATTATAATAATAATTTATTTATTATTATTATCAGTGCTACTGGGTCATGAAGGAAGCAGCCTCGGGTGACAGGGGGCTGTAACGATCTCTGTCTGGAACCCGTAGGTGCGGGACTCGGATGTCCACCTCCTGGAGCTCTCTTAAGGTACTATGGGCTCACCATAGCCCGTGTTACTTGGAACTTTTTGTTCCAGGTATCGAATCTTTAACAACAACAACAACATCCTGGAGCTCGTGGGGGCCAGGCTCTGCTTCAGGAGGCTGGGGTCGTTCTTTCCCTTGATGGGGTGATGCTTCTCCGGCCCCGACCACGGCGGTCTCCGGGTTTGGAGTCCCTGTGTCTTCTTTTATCAACTTCGATGTAAACTCTGAAGCTGGAGCCCCTGGGACAGTTCGTTGTTGCCTTCATCTTCGTTCTGACAGTTCCTACGACAGTGCTTGAACCAATCGTATTGGCGTTTGCCTTACCGTTGGAGACTTTCAGCGCTGTGGAGAGGGGGGACCTGCTGCATGTGTGACAGCTTCTCCCCCGTATCAACCTACCCTGGCTTTGTGCCCCTAGAGAGGCCACTCCAGACCGACAACCAGAGCGCAACTCCATAGTCTCCTGAGACTGATGGATGCCAACTCCTACTATTATCAGTGGTATTACTGTTAGTAGTAGTAGGCATCCTTCAGTATTATTAGTCATCGCACCATACTGCTTGCTTTTTAGTCTCCACAACAATGTTATGGGAGTTAATAATATTTGAGATATATACAAGAGTTGTTACATTCTTGTACAGCCACTAGTACGCGTAGCGTTTCGGGCAAGTCCTTAATCCTATGGTCCCTGGAATACGATCCCCTGCCGCGAAGAATCGTTTTTTCATCCAAGTACACATTTTACTGTTGCGTTAAACAGAGGCTACAGTTAAGGAATTGCGCCCAGTAAATCCTCCCCGGCCAGGATACGAACCCATGACATAGCGCTCGCGGAACGCCAGGCGAGTGTCTTACCACTACACCACGGAGACTGCCGTGACTGCCTTGGCCCTAAATAGTTCACACTAGACTCGATAATGGTCCAGGACGGACCGAAACGTAGTCGTCTTCTCATCTTCTGGTGTGTGGCTTAATTCTCACTTACCTAAGTTAAGGAGTTTGGGCAGAGGCAAGATACCGTTATGATAGTGTTGTTGGAGTGTGGGGGAGGCTGAGTATCCCTCCAGCAATGTGATAGTGTTTGGGGAAGCAGTAAAGAGTATACTTCTTAGTCATCACCCGGGCAAGATCTGTGTTTACAGTTACCATGTTTGAACACGAGATTGAGGCTTCGTGCTGATGCAACCGTATCGGTAAATTGACCGAGAATAACCCAGGCCAAAGACATCTCTTAAGACATTTTATTTTAAATCTATTATGGAGAAAAACTTACTTTTATACATTACTGCCAAATTCTTAATTTTTATAAGCTCAAAAATAAAACAATTGTCTGTTACCCATCATTACACCTTAGTATAAGTAACTCTGGATACTCTTTTTAAATCAAACAAAATCCTGAGTTTGGAAACGATAATTTATTTGGTCCGGTTAGTAAGACTTTCGTTCCCACGACCAACCGTCGCAGTGAAGCGGCACCTCGACGCGTTGTTATTATTTATTAGCTAAGCGTCCACCATCTTGTTTTGATTCTTATTTAGTAAGTCAAGAAAGAGATTATTGCTAACAATTGTTACCACAACTGCTTTAGATATTTTTGAATATATCAGAATGTATAACGATTTGTTTCCCAAATATTCTTGTAATCTTACCATATATAAAATCATGGCATATATTAAATCATTGGATATAATAATACTACTGGAAACGGAACCTGGCTTTGCTCGGGTGACGGTCTTCACTATATACTGTCTTCCTTACTGTAACAATTTTCCCTAATCACTTAACTACACCTCTTCCCTCTCCTTCGCCACTTATAATACCCTCTATTACTTTCCCTCTCCACCGCCTTCCCTATTCTTCAGTTCCTGCCCATCTCCGCTTTCCGTACCACTCGCCACCTTACCATCAATATAATTTTATCTAAACAGCATCGGATCCAGACTCCATTAACAAAAAAAAATGATGTTATCAACTACAGATTGTGAATATTAGTCATACCATTAAACCGGAGACGGAAACCAGTGTAAACTGGGGAGAACTTGGCCCTAAACACCTATCATCGTCCCTTTTCAAGGTGGCATGGATCTATATTTACCCGTGACAGAACCGGAAATATTATAGTTGTAAGGAGAAGGATTTGAAAGATGAACTTTGAGATGATGTCAGGTAGGGAAGTTACGTTGAGGTAGACTGGTGGGGGAGGAAGTCCACAGAGCAGGAGGAAGTGGGGATGATGCACGGTGGAAGTAAGAGGAGAAAGGGAGCTGCGCAGAGTTTACCGTGGAAATAAACATACACTTCGCTATTGATTTGTTTCCACCACTACAGATTTAGCACCCGTGTTTTCTCTGAATTGTCTGTGTGTCACTCCTCAGGGGCGTGTGTAATCACCCCTTACCCCAGGGGCGTGCGTGATCACCCATTCCCCCAGGGGCGTGCGTGATCACCCCTTCCCCCAGGGGCGTGTGTGATCACCCCTTCCCCCAGGAGCGTGTGTGATCACCCCTTCCCCCAGGGGCGTGTGTGATCACCCCTTCCCCCAGGGGCGTGTGTGATCACCCCTTCCCCCAGGAGCGTGTGTGATCACCCCTTCCCCCAGGGGCGTGTGTGATCACCCCTTCCCCCAGGGGCGTGTGTGATCACCCCTTCCCCCAGGGGCGTGTGTGATCACCCCTTCCCCCAGGGGCGTGTGTGATCACCCCTTCCCCCAGGGGCGTGTGTGATCACCCCTTCCCCCAGGGGCGTGTGTGATCACCCCTTCCCCCAGGGGCGTGTGTGATCACCCCTTCCCCCAGGGGCGTGTGTGATCACCCCTTCCCCCAGGGGCGTGTGTGATCACCCCTTCCCCCAGGGGCGTGTGTGATCACCCCTTCCCCCAGGGGCGTGTGTGATCACCCCTTCCCCCAGGGGCGTGTGTGATCACCCCTTTCCCCAGGGGCGTGTGCGATCACCCCTTTCCCCAGGGGCGTGTGCGATCACCCCTTTCCCCAGGGGCGTGTGCGATCACCCCTTCCCCCAGGGGCGTGTGTGATCACCCCTTCCCCCAGAGGCGTGTGAGATCACAGCTTCATTAAACCCTAATATAGCATTACCAAGTCTTTTTTATTCATTTCTCTCTTCTCGCACAGGGATGACAGAGATAATAACTCGCCAGTTCAGCATAACTTGATCTAACGCGATACAATTGTCTCGCCAGAACACGGAGAACGGACCCCAGCTCGGCATGCCTGTCAATACCAGCATCTCCACTCCGGACGGGGTCCCCGAGGGAGACGCTGGCGACGCTCAGTTGGCCCTGGTGGAGGACGTCGCCTACCGCTACATCATGCCGGCTTTCATCTCCGTGAGCGTCTTGACCAACTTGATGAACGTGGTGATGCTGGGACGGGCGAGGCGACAGCATCAACAGCGGCAGGCTCAGGCCACCACCTTCTTCTACCTCATGTGGCTCGCCCTTACCGAGATGCTCGCCTCACTCGCCCTTGTGCCAGCACTCGCCCACCTCGACCGTAGCCACCTCTCCTACGGCTGGGCCTTCTACTACGCTCATTTTGAAACACCGGTGCTGAACGCCCTGACGAGCGCCAGTGTTTATATTGTAGTGGGTCTCTCAGTGGACCGCTACATCGCCGTGTGTCATCCTCGGCGCTACCAGGATGTCAGCGCCCCCCGCCTCGCTGTCAGCCGCATCACGCTGTCGCTACTCGTCCCGGCTCTTCTCTACATCCCTCATGGCTTCTACCAGAAAGTTGTAGCTGCCCAGGGCGGAGCAGGGTGGACCTACGAGGGGCTGGAGATGGCCGCCCCCAGGGCCTGGTACGCGTGGAACGTGGTGGTGGAGCTGTGTCACCGCATGGCTCCCGCCACACTCCTAGCCGCCCTAAACGCCTGCATTATCTACACCTTCAAGAAGGTGACGTCGCGGCGGAGGCTCCTCACCAAGAGCAAGGGCACTGAGAGCACCAACAAGAGCGAAGACAACAGCAAGGGCCAGCAGGAGCACCGCCTCATCTACTTACTGATGGCCATCGTCACCACCTTCCTGCTCACCAACCTCCCAGCCACAGTCCTCGCCCTCATAGACACCGCCGGTGCCTCTCACGGCTCCTTCTCACTCGAGGTATTTTATTTGGTTTTAATTCTTCCAGCTTCACAACATGTCATATTTGAATCGCCCTGTAAGGAACTCTGATATTAATAATTCAGCCCATCCTCTTGTTTTGATAATACCTCTCGTGACGATCGTCAATAGTCAGAATTCCTACCTTCTTAGCTTTTAGGTAGTAGTATACTGACTAGTAAGGAATTCTTTTAAAATAAATGACGCTAAAACACAAACTTGTATATTCCTATACCTAGTATAGCACACACATGTACTATATTAGGCCTCGGATATTTTGTATAAGGCCTAGGGAGGTTAGTTTAGTTTGTCAAATCAACAAAAGTAAAAAATAGGTTTCCGGTTTGTCCAACTCAATAGTTCAGATTTCTACGTTCTAATTTCGTTGTACATCGGTATATATACTATGGTCTTCATCGTTGCTATACACACTACCAAAACAGATGGATGGGCTGAATACTTGCACAGAACTTTTTTGTATTCAGTAACTTAATTTATCTAAAAATCGCTAAACTCTTGAGATTGTGCGCGGACTGAGCATGCTGCTTCATGCTATCGCAAAAGCATATCTCGCGAACGTTGTTCTTCTAATTATTTGACAAAATATTTGTAAAAATTATATAAATGCAGGATCTTGCTATATCCTTTACAATCTTATCTTCGCATACCCTACACCACTCCCATTGACGATAACCGCTCCTCCAGGTGTTCTTCTAACAATGCATCGTTCATCCAGGCATTTTACCAAAACATCAACGTTCATCCAGGAATTATACTAACAAAGCATCACTCTTCCAGGTGTTCCGGGCAGTGGCCAACTGCCTCGAGGTGCTGGGTTTCTCTCTCAATTTTGTCTTGTACTTCGTCTTCGTGCCTGGGGTGCGCCAGGGACTGAATGAGGCGCTGCTGGTGGTCCGAAAGTCAGTGTGTGGTTTGGTTGTCCATGCTAAGGCCGCCCACGGCTGCTCCTACTCCTTCGGCGAGGACAGATCCAAGGACACCGAGTACGACGAGGTCTAGGATGCGAGGACATAGAATGAAGGATATGTGGACCTGCAGTGATGTAAGGCATATGGACATAAAATTGTACAGTAGTGTAAGGTATGTGGACATGAAGTTATTCAGTAGTAGAAGTTAAGGCGTGTAGACATGAAATGGTTCAGGATATAGAGTAATGTACGAGTACAGTAACAAAAGAACAGTCTTGTATATAATTATTAACGATATTTGGTCAAATATCGTTAATATTTGACAACCAGACCGACAACCAGAGCGCAACACCAGAGTCTCCCGAGACTAATGGATGCCTACTACTATTATTGGTCAAATCGTATACAGGCATTTCGTATACATCGTATATGAAATCGTATACAGGCACAGCCCTTATTCTAATTTGTCAAGGTATATATTGTTAGGGGAGGCTGGAATAAGGCGCGCTGAGAATCACTAGGTTAGGTTAGTTTCGGTTATATTAAGGGGAGTTTGGTTAGGCTGGGTTAAGTAGATTTAAAACAAAAAATCAGTTTCCAATCATTTTTATTTACGAAATAGTGTCTTTGTCACCCAGACGCTGATGCATCATACACTTACGCTGCATACTTGTATCACATACAAATCAGCAGGCATACATCAGTTGTGTGTGATATGTCACAAATGCTCTTTCTGACGAACCATATTCTTACTATTATTATCAGTAATGGCGTATTGGTATGCATCCATCAGCCTCAGGAGACTATGGAGTTGTGCTCTGGTTGTCGGTTTGGAGTGGCCTCTCCAGGGCGCAAAGCCAGGGTAGGTTGATACGGGGAAGAAGCTGTCACCCATGCAGCAGGGCGTCCCTCTCCACGGCGCCGAAAGTCTCCAAAGGAAAGGCAAACACCAATACGATTGGTTCCAGCGCCGTCGCAGGAACTGTCAGAACGAGGTTGCAGGCAACAACGAACTGCCCCCAGGGGGCTCCAGCTCCAGATTTTACCTCAAAATTGGTAAGACACAGGGACTCCAAACCCGGAGACCGCCGTGGTCGGGGCGGGAGAAGAACCACCCCAGCAAGTGCAAGAACGACCCCAGCCTCCTGCAGCAGAGCCTGGGGGGCCGCACGAGCCCCAGGAGGTGGACGGCCCGGTCCCGCACCTACGGGTTCCAGACAGAGATCGTCACAGCCCCCTGTCACCCGAGGCCGGCTTCCTTCATGACCCAGCCGAAGGAAGAGTAATAATTATTAATTACAACAGTTATAATTATTATTATAATAATATAATTAATTAATAACTATTACACTTTCTTCTGGCGAATTACATGATATAGCATTGTATAAGTGGAAATAACTCTTAGATTTAAAATATATATTGAGTAGGTTATACTCTACTTGTGAGAGTTTACACACGTATTAGTTAAACTGTGTGTGTCCTCTTGTGTGTTGATAATGCTCTTATAAGTGTAATTAAATATTTCTTGTCTTTTATGTTATATACATATATATATATATATATATATACATATATATATATATATATATATATATATATATATATATATATATATATATATATATATATATATATATATATATATATATGCACGTGTTACTCTGTTATACATGTTGATTCCATTTTTGTTCTATGCTCTTTGAATTTCTTCCAAACTCAGACTATACAATTGGGATTTGTTTTTCCATTTACCAGCCAGAGTCTGTCAAACCCTGGGCTACTGAATCTGAATACTCGAATCCTCAACCTCTTTAATGTAGTCTCATAATGTCGCTGATCACGTCTTGAGTTATTCTTATGTTCCATTTGCATGGAATTCTCTTCAGTCAATTTTCTGATCTGGTTCACGCCTTTTAAGGTATGCTAGTATTCCATAATTCACCTTTCGTCGTCCCCATCGCCTTTTTAAATGTCAGTGATCTCAATATCCGACTTATTGGTCCTGATAAGACCAGGACTAGTCTTCCTTACTGGTAGGTTTCCTTTCTTCAAATTTCCTCCCTGACATTTTAATTAGCAAATTAAGATTTGCTATTGCAGAGTTCACTCTGCAGTTCTTCAACCAGTATCGGCCATTGTTTTCCCGTTCAAGTTACCGATAATTAGTCTCCCATTTCTGGCAAGTTTGCTTTCAGTGTATGGAATAATTGTCATTCCTTGAAAGGCATTCATGAAAGCTCTGTATTATGTGTTTGATTAGGGTTAAATATGGAAGTAGAACCCAGGTTATTAGTTCTGTCATAACTAGAATATATTTTGAACCAGTCTTGCTGGTTGCTTTTGTTGTATTCTTCCCCATTTTGTCCCCGATTGTGTCGTTTCTGTGGTCATTGTTCTTGTGAAAACTGGAAGTGTGTGTGTGTGAGTGTGTGAAGAGCTTCTGCTCCTTGTTGACCTCTTTCTTCTCCCTCACCTTCATCATCTTCTCACTTCCATCTCTTTTATGACTTAGATATGGGGCAAAATAAATAAATCTTTGTATTTGGCTATATCTTTCCTTTTATTAAATGTTTATTCGTGTCACTTTTTTTAAACTTTCCAAGTTTCTGGATTTTTCCTGTTCCATAAAAACGTCGATCACTTCAGTTGCTGATTCCACCTTCGGTGGCCGAATTCTTTAATTTTATTGTGTTGTGGTGTGACTCTAGCATGTTCACCTCCACCTTCTCACCCTCGTGTAGACCTATTAATTCCAGAATATTTATAGTTATTCCTCTCTTAATGATCATCTTTTGATTTCCATGTAGATAAGGTCTTAAATAAACAACAATCTTTTTGGATTGATGTCTTTGTCTGCTTGTTCATAGATTGGGAGTTTTTAATTTCTAGAGCAAAATTGTTCTTTGTGGGCCCACAATTTTTTTTTTTCAAAAACTGTGGTCCCGATTTTCCCAATTGGGAAACATTTTCTACATGTCCCCAATTTCCAGGAATTGAGACCTTCCAATCTGAAAAAGTATATCGAAGTGATTACTTTCTTATCACAGAGCTTATATGCATATGTGTGTATATTTAACAGCTGATGTAGATATTTTCGACAATTGATGTCGTAGTATATATGTATATTTAATATAAATACTCATAGTTACGAAATTTGTGTTGCTTTCTGTAAAGATTATACATGAAGCTCTCTGTATACGTATATACCTTACGGGTAATATTGAAATAAAAGAATTCAAATTATAGGTTTTTATTTTTCTTGAAAGACTTCCTGTTAGATAGTGCAATATATACAAAAACAGATACACGTGGTAAACGACCTGAATGACCAGAAGGAAGATGGATAATGTGCCACTGGAAAGACCAGCATCCCCTGCCAGTTACCAACCTGAGTGATTGCCTTCAATTCGTTTTAGAAAGGCACTTTGTGTTGGATCTCCTTGCAAAAGACTCAAGTTGGTCTGAGGTAAGAATGAGGGTTGGGCGGTATCAGGAATACTCTACGTATCTCGCATGGTGTGTGAGAGTTGACCATTCTCTCTTCCTACTCGTCCAATCGAGCCATAATAGGTCCAAGGAGATATGAGACTACACAGTCATGGCATCCTAATACAAGACACTAAATACTCGTCTCATTCGGTATACTAGCAAGCCATAAGACATGTATATGTAATATAATATTCTGGCAACAACTGTCGTTCTGTCTGGTGGTCCTTTTGGGCTGACCATATATGTAGGTAGCAGATTTAAACAAATCATAACTTGTAACCAGTGCTTGCAAGCCTCCGAGTGTGATTTCTCTATCAGACTTCGATGTTTGAAACAATATTGTCTTAACAATAGGGTTTCCTCGGTCTAGTTAAACTTCACCCGTAACACACACAAATCACATGAACGTGCTATATATCAATGAGAATCCACTAGGACTATAGATGAGAGCGAACCTACGAGCACGGCATTGCCAAGCCTCGTACTCTACCACTAGACCAACGCTATCAAATATAAAATGATTTTATATTCGATAGCTGTTATGGGTGCTGTGCTGTTGGTCTGATTAGGGTTACAAGCAAGGTAAGGGAGTTCCACCTAATAGGGGTTAGGAAAGGCCCGGTTCCCAGGGAAACAAATCTCAATAAATAAAACAATAATGGTCTGTCGTCTAGAATTGATCACTTAACCCACTGCAAGAATGGTGATGGAAACTCCAACTGAAATTTACCCTAATATATTTAGATTAACCCTAAAACGCCAAAAATACTTTACCACCTCGATCTTACGTTGCCTCTCTGACTCCACATAGGCAGGAGATGAGATTTAGATACAGCAAACTAGTGATAAAGTCTACTTTTCCTTAAAGAAACGTTGTTTTGTTTATATATTAAGATGGTTTCGGCTGATAGTCCCCAAGTGGGCCTATAAAGACAGACGACATTTTACTCTTTCAAGGCTGTCCATCTGATGTCGATAGAATTCTCCATCAGCAAACTTGACAATGAAGCCTTCTGGACCCTATATACAGCCCGTGAGACACCCAATATTAAGTATGCGGCCCCGACAGGCTTGAAAAAAAGTACAAGGCTAAACTACGAAAGGTCTAAAGATATGCAAAGAAATACGCTCCAGAGCTGAGGAGTTTAAACTACATTGTAAGTCTGGAGGGGAATTAACCTGACCAAATTGTAGGAGAAATAATGGAGGACATATTAGCGATATGGCAGATTCTAAGGACAATTTACGAAAAAAACAGGGTATCCAAATGAGCAACAGAGGCGTAAGAAATACTTATCCCGGTGTCAGAGTCGTTAACAAATGGAATGCACAAAGACCTGAAGGATGAGGTAAACGTATACGCCGTTTCTAAATGCTGATAGACTCGGAAACATATACCAGTTAATTGGAAGATGAGAGGCTGGACCAAAAAGCCGAAGCTCGACGCACGCACGCACGCACGCGCGCGAACACGAACACGAACTCACTCTCACACTCTCTCTCTCACACTCTCTCTTACACGCACTCTCTCTTACACGCACTCTCTCTTACACTCTCTCTCTCTCTCTCTCTCTCTCTCTCATATCCGAAGCAGGTTAGTAGAATACTTAACAAAAAAAATCTTAAAACACTACCACGGATTTAGTAAAAGAAAATCGTACTTAACGAACTTGTTGTTGAAGTTCTACAATAAGATGGCAGAAATCCAACAAGAGAGAAGGATCGGCAGACTGCATATTCCTCGAATATCAGGAAAGCATTCGACACTGTAGAGGCATCAGAGTGTAGAGAACTTCTGAGTGAAGTGCCTATTAATTTTTATTAAACTACCATTCAAGCTGTCATTGCAATCAATCTGAGCTACCTATGTGCTTTAATATACCTACAATTTAATCTTATCTTTATTTTTTTTCTTGCTATGTAACTTTTATCATTTTTATAAATTTTGCAAGTATTTACCTACTTAAAATTTTCTTAGATTAAGGACCTGCCCGAAACTCTGCGCGTACTTGTGGCTTTACAAGAATGTAATTACTATGCTATGTATCCTCTCAATCCCAATGTACCTTCTTGTGTGTGTGTGTGTGTGTGTGTGTGTGTATATATATATATATATATATATATATATATATATATATATATATATATATATATATATATATATATATATATATATATATATATATATATATATATATAATATATATATATAATAAGTACCATAAGGATCGGTTCCAGGGCTCATCCTGTTTCTAATATGCCAATGACCTGACAGGACATTAGCCCCTTCATTTCAATCTGCGCAGATGATGCAAAACTAGTAAGAAGAATCAGGACAGTAATTGTGATGCACTTCAAACGGATTTAGACATACTCAGGAAGTGGTCTGAAAAAAATGGCTGCTAGGCTTTAACCCAGCCAAATTCAAAGGTATGAGGACTGGAACAGGAGTGCAAGACCAGTACAGCAGTATAGGATGAAGGGAAGACAGATTCTTCACTCAGAAAAGGAGAAAGAAGTGAGAGTGGACACAGCCTCAACGTGATGCCAGAAGTCCATATTAGCAGAATAAAAACAGTAAACATGGCATACTGGCTAACGTCCGTGTATCCTTCAGAAACTTGGACTAAGGTACTTTCCAGACCCTATACACAACAAAGGTAAGACCAATTTTTAAATATGCATCCTTAGCATGGAACCCTCACCTGAAAAAAACTAACCACGATAGAATGTTGATGTATTTGTTAGAAACCTGTAACTAGTTCATGACTACTGCAACTGTACTAGCTGAACGAATAGTGTGTGATGTCTGTAACCTTTCTACCAAGGGGCACTAGAGGGGTAAAGATCTAATGATAAACTAACTGAACTAATCTCTATACACTACACTCTTATTCACTAAATAAGTATTTATGTACTTCAATGATATGCATATTTATTGAACCTACAATGTTATCTACAAAAAATGCACGAATTGTCAACTGTGCATGACTGTGCTAAGATGTTCGTTCACCATTAACCTTAAATTAGTTTACACAAAAGCAAATGTTTTCTAGATTGCAAAAAACATAAAACGTTTAATTTTGATTTCACCTTTCTTATTTATTACTCCAGGTAATTAACTCCATACACTGTTTTCTATACATTTATAAACTTGTAGTTTTTGTTTAGTTACGCCCAACGCAATATTTAGAGAAAAGTACGATAATGAGTGAATGAGAGAATGAGCGTGTGCGCGCGATTCCCGCAGCCCGACCCAGCCAGCTCACCATCACTGCTCCATGGAAATCAATGGTAAAGGCATCTCGCTAAGTTTCATTCGTGATTTCAAGGGAATTTCACCAAAAAAAACTGTCTTACAGTTAAGTGAAACAAGTTGATGTGATAACGAGACCCGTGTGTACAGGTTGCAGTAAGGAGCAACGAGACAAGACTCAGTCGTGAACACTAACCTTGAGAATGTTTGTACTTTCTTCAGGGCCCGAGTCGCACCAGTGAAATAGTGTGCTGGAAGTCTTGGAATTTTGACTGTGGTTATATTCGTAGGTTGGTGAGAGAGAGGTGCATTTGGGAGTGTGTGGGCGCGCGGAGGTGTAAATACACGCGCAATAATGTGAAATGTGGTGAAACATAACTGAGAGATGCAAGAAGCTAAAAATAGATCGCAAGTTGCTCCTCATTGCAATGTTTATGTATCTTTTATCCGTGAGCGGTGCATCGCTAACGTTTTCTCACGTATATGCAAGTCTTTCTAAACATTTAATATTTAGTTTCTATAATTTAATGTAAAAAACGCAACGCATTTGATATATAATTAACAATAACATACCAGTATGTGAAAGCCTCGTCCCACTTGTTCCAGCATTTATTCTAAAACTTAAAGTTTCATGCTTGAAAATCAGTTACTGCTACAGGTCAAGGCAACGCAATGAAAAACTTTGCTACTTGATAAACAAAGTGCACTTAAAGTGCCTAATGATCGCAAATTTAGTGATGGAATATTCCTTTTTAGATGAAAATACATTCGCATTGGGTGAAGTGATGCTAATCGGACCTGGATTTCCAATATGATCTAAAACCTGTACCGGCATGAAAAAGATAGCATAGTGACGTTACACCTCATACACACCATATATATGTTTTATCGCTGTCAGGTTGGGTGTGTTAAAGAGTAGCGATGACATAAATGCCGACATAGCCAGCATTTAACCCCCCCCCCCTAGCCAGACAAGGCTTTAGGCTGGTCGCGGTCACCCATCCAGTTGCTGGCTAGAACTATAGGTTAACTGGCCCAGTGACGTGAATATCGTCTGCTGCGTCACGCTCAAATGTACTTACTCATCAGCGTCTACAGATGACGATGATGGGGGTGTGGGGTGGGCGCGAGGATTGGGGTGTCAACAAATCCACAAGGGCCGTGACGAGGATTCGAACCTACGTCCTAGAGCATCCCAGACGCTGCCTTAATCGACTGAGCTACGACAAGGTAAAATAATTGCAACTAGAAGTTTTACTGAACTTACTTGGATCCTGCAGCCTCTCCGAGAGACAAACCAGGATTTTACACAATTCCCTCATGCACTCGAACTATGTCAATAGGCCGTTGTACCTCTTCGCCCTTACTTCATTACACACAGAGGTATGAATGCTATTGTGATTTCTGTGTGTAATGGGGAGTGTGAACAACCCGTCCACGTGGTTCAACACGTTGCATTGTGAAGTATACTTTGCAAAAAGACCAAAAAGTATCGAACCAAGATAATAGTAGCGGCTCGCGGAATTGACATAATGTTCCGTTTTCTGTTCGTGGGTCCTCTGGTAGGTTAGGATAAGGCAAATTAGTAGGACAGTTCCTTGGCGGCTAGGAACGCTTACGAGAACTGGCTGGTGTGACCGAAAACGGGATGGTGTAGGTCAGCCACACCCCGAGGCCAAGACCCTCACACACCTCTGTTGGCCAGCGACGATACCTTCAGTTTCTTTTATAATTAGTAACATGCCTTCACCTGTATATTATTATTTTAATTAGTAAACTTTGATATATGACCCGTAGTGCTTCCGTAGTCTGTGTGAAAGGTACAGAGTCCAATCAAAAGCTATTTTGTCTGCGAATTTGATGATGTGGTTTGTAATATTCTCATCTGTGTCATAGATGTATGTTTACTCCTATAACACAAGTTACGAGTTATGTTTCAAATTTATTTTATTTCCAACAGCATAAGAACACATAAGAGAAAATGTGATATATGCATCAAGATATATTAAGAGAATGAAAGACACTTGTGAGCACGGAGAACATTAAGCGTGGATGACGCCTTTTGAGCGTTGATGGAGAGCACCATATGATCCCAGAGGACATGCTCCGGGCGAGCCATCATGGGGCAGAACACCAGCAGACACACCAGGTTACAACCTCAGTTGGTGGTGAGTTGAAGTTCCAGTTTTCTTAACGTCTGGATGAACTACGCCGTACGATTCAACAATAAACTATTTTTATTAGGTGTTAAGAACATTGACGTGTATGTTTGGTGGTGCTTGGGTGTAAGCACTGTTCACATTTGGTTAAGTGGATTTGATAGGTGCTTTATGATTTTAATTTTATCCGGATTTTATCCGGAAAGATGAATTTATTGGGCAACGTCACTCATCCCGTGAGTGAACATACCTTCATAATACCTGCTGTGTATATTTAAAGCAGTCCCCGTGGACGGTAGAGCGACGGTTTCGCTTCATGCAGGTCGGCGTTCAATCCCCGACCACCCAAGTGGCTGGGCACCATTTCTTCCCCCGTCCCATTACAACCCCCCTTCCAAGTGTTATATAGTCGTAATGGCTTGGCGCTTTCCCCTGATATATCTTCTCTTTTCCCCTCCCCCCTTCTCCCCGTGACGCAGTGGTAAGACACTCTCCCTGCGCTTCGCGAGCGATTTGACCTGGGTTCGTATCCTGGTTTTGTTCTATCGTGGCCATGTGGGTTAAGGCAGGTGTCTGGGAATCACCAGAACGTCGGTGATTCCAAGTATGTATGGGAATCTGTGGAACACGCACGCACGCACGCACGCACGCACGCACGCACGCACGCACACACACACACACACACACACACACACACACACACGAACAGTAACAAGTGGAGTACCACAAGGATCGGTGCTGGGACCAATTCTATTTCTAGTATATGTTAACGACATGTTTGCAGGCGTAGAGTCCTACATGTCGATGTTTGCGGATGACGCAAAGTTGATGAGAAGAGTTGTGACAGATGAGGATTGCAGGATCCTCCAAGAGGACCTGAACAGGTTGCAGAGATGGTCAAAGAAATGGCTACTGGAATTCAACACGAGCAAATGTAAAGTTATGGAAATGGGACTAGGAGATAGGAGACCAAAAGGGACAGTACACAATGAAGGGGAACAGCCTACCTGTGACGACGCGAGAAAGAGACCTGGGTGTGGGCGTAACACCTAATCTATCTCCTGAGGCACATATAAATAGGATAACGACAGCAGCGTACTCTACACTGGCAAAAGTTAGAACATCATTCAGAAACCTAAGTAAGGAGGCATTTAGGGCGCTTTACACTGCCTACATGAGGCCAGTCTTAGGGTATGCCGCCTCATCATGGAGTCCCCATCTGAAGAAGCATATAAAGAAACTGGAAAAGGTTCAGAGGTTTGCAACGAGACTCGTCCCAGAGCTACGAGGGATGGGGTATGAGGAGCGCTTGAGGGAACTGTGCCTTACGACACTAGAAAGAAGAAGGGAGACGGGGGACATGATAGGAACGTATAAAATACTCAGAGGGATTGACAGAGTGGACATAGACGAAATGTTCACACGGAATAATAACAGAACGAGGGGACATGGGTGGAAGCTGGAAACTCAGATGAGTCACAGGGATATTAGGAGAGTAGCGTGAGAGTAGTGGGAAAATGAAATGCACTTAAGGAACAGGTTGTGGCAGCAAATATTATTCATAATTTTAAAACCAGGTATGATAGGGAAATAGGACCGGAGTTATTGCTGTAAACAACCGATGCTCGAAAGGCGGGATCCAAGAGTCAATGCTCGATCCTGCAGACACAACTAGGTGAGTACACGGGCTCTGGTGGTTGAGTGGATCGCACACTGGACACGTAATCCTGTGAACCGGGGTTCGATTCCCGGCGCTGGCGAGAAACAAAATGGGCAGAGTTTCTTGCACCCTGATGCCCTGTTACCTAGCAGTAGATAGGTACCTGGGAGTTAGAGAGCTGTTACGGGCTTCCTGAGGGAAGCTCCCATTCATTCCCAGCCCCTTGGTCTTGAGAGGGGATCAAGAGAGAGAAATTCTCTCAATTCTGAAATCAATTTCCTGAGAGAAGAGGAATGGGAGACGAAGCCTTCCCCCTCCTTCGTCCTCCACCTTCCTTTCCCCTTCTCGTGAAATGTATTAAAAAGTATTGAAACATCCGTGTGGGTCTCTCAGAGTATATTATTACTATCACTAAAAACTCTTAGAGGAATCACACCATATATTTCACATTTGACTCCATGAAAATCGCAAGGGGGATTTATAAATGCTAATATTTGTTTAAAGAATCAACTTGGGCCTATCCCGACCAGTCTATGTCCGTCCCGTACTCCAGTCCATTCACCGTGCAAATTTGGTTGAGGCTAGCCTCTATGCGTCTGGCCTATAACTTTGGACAGACAGACACGCATTCTGTGTTATAGAATGACCTGACAAGCCCAAATGACAGTTATTGGAACGCAGTGTTCCAATATTCAGACAATAGTCCAGCATATCTCAACCCAGGAGGTCGAAAGTCAGTTAATATAGGACCTTCCCCACTATAATATTCAAGGGAATGCATGTTTTCTTTCACAAAACCTATCTCACACTGGAGTTTCGGGAACGTTGCCAGATTTTTTTAATTAGCAAAATTAGGTATACACAGCAATGTGCTGCTAACCTATTCTATGAGATATTGCACAGTGTAGCTCAAGAACTAGCTGACCAGACCACACACTAGAAGTTGAAGGGACGACGACGTTTCGGTCCGTCCTGGACCATTCTCAAGTCGATTGACTTGACTCATTCTCATTCTCAATCGACTTGAGAATGGTCCAGGACGGACCGAAACGTCGTCGTCCCTTCAACTTCTAGTGTGTGGTCTGGTCAACATACTTCAGCCACGTTATTGTGACTCATCGCCTGCATCAAGAACTAGCTATAGGTTCAACTATTACTCCCATCTCACAGGAGTCATACATGGAATCAGGGGAGAAAATAACAGCCTCAAAACAAAAACAAATCAACTATGACTAAAAATCAGGTGAAAACATAAAATGTAAGGCTGATCTATTAGCCCTCACTAGCTAAATCTGGATACAGCACAAGAATATCTTCCAATATCAATACCAATATCAATATCTTCCTGAGTGTATGAAGTAATTACAGAATGGAATGGAACTATCAGGAGACAGCACCAAGCCATTATGACTATTTAGCACTTGGAAGGGATCAGGATAAGGAGTTAGGATGGGACAGGGGAAAGGAATGGTGCCCAACCACTTGGACGGTCGGGGATTGAACGCCGATCTGTATGAAGCGAGACCTCATACCATTTGGTCTGAAGTCACTTATAACAGGGCAATCACAGATATAGTGTTCGAGAGTATGTCCCAGCTCTTATTCACATAGTTTACAATTGGAATGTTCCCCATTGGGGGGATTCATTACCTGCAGCCACCTGCCATAGATATCGATATCCCAGCCTAATTTTGGCAATTACAATGTTACAGTCTAGTGGATGTTTTATGCTGCCCGTACGTATAATTCTCCGTTCTAAACATGGCATAGCTCTTTATACTTGTACTTTCTGGCATTTGTGTGTCAGTGACTGCTCTGCTGCCTTCCCTAATTTTCTAAAATATTGCGGCTTTTACAGCAGAGTTTGGAATGTCCATATCCAACTCTACTTCAGGCTTATCACATGCAGTTTTAGCTGCCATGTCTGTGTCGTCATGCTGGACAACACCTATGTGATATGGTATCCATACAAATGACTCTGAAACTCTTGCTCTTTGCATTAATAATGTTGTTTATAATGGATGTTACAACATTCCCAGTGTCTATTTTGTATGTTGGTTTTTTTAGGGCCTGAAGAGCTGACTTTGAATCACAAAATTACTCCACTGTTCTTCAGTGGCCAGTTGTAGTGCAGCTAATTCTGCATGTGTGGGAATAAGATAGTTATTGAGGCTCACACTAGTAGTCTGTGTACATATGTTTTGTCTTTGTATATTCTACAGGCTGCTGCAGTGCGACCTGTTGCCATTTGAACAGATCCATCAGCATAAGCATAGCCAGATACGTCCCAGCAGACGCGTTGCCCAGCTCTTACTTTATTTCCAAACACACACAAACGTCTCCACTAACCCCTTCATGCTAGATTTATTTTAATTTTTATTTAATAGTAATAAAAACATTACCAGTTTTACGAATTTAATTAAAAAAAATACAAATGGTTAACATTTTGTGTCCGCGAGCGCGCGAACGCATTTGTGACAAGTACAACAGGCTTCAGTAAACAAACCAGCGTATAGAGGGGAGGGTGTTCAGGGTTGCCAGTCGGTTATCATGGCAGATAAGCTTTCTACCACATTGAAAGGCTTGTTCAAGAGTGATAACAAGAAGGTATGACCAGCTTAATGTTCCAGTTAATACAAAATTTTTGTAGTACAATGGTCTGGGCAGCCAGTTCCGGGTTCCATTCCGGTGCCTTGGGCACGTTTCCTTACACCTAATGCCACTGTTCACCTAGCAGTAAATAGGTAGTCTAGAGTTAAGCAATTATTGTACTCGCCTAGTTGTGCTTGCGGGGGTTGAGCTCTGGCTCTTTGGTCAAGCCTCTCAACCGTCAAGCAACTGATGTACAGATTCCTGAGCCTACTAGGCTCTATCATATCTACATTTGAAAATTGTGGGTTGCATCTTGGGGAAGTTCAATAATAGTCCTAATTGGACCTCGATAGGCCTAGCAGGCTTCCTGTTCCCGAAAATGTGAACCAAACTATGAAGTCTACCAAGACTGGATATGCTAGGTAAGAGACATTGCTTATATTCAGATTAAGTGCGTTTCAAACACTGGTTGCTCCATCCTGGTGCTAAATATAGTCTTTCAGGTTTGGTGCCTTTTGACTATTACAATGCATACTTGGTCATGTCATACATAAATTATTACTGTTATAAATTATAATTATATTTTGTAATGATTGTGTTGCTCTACATTATATAATATTCTTCACACGTTGCTGTTGGTGGTTTGGGGGCTATGACATCACCAGGTTGTACGATGGCACAAACAAAGGTTGCACTTATGGTCAAATCATACACGAGTGTTTCAACCAAGCTCTCCTTAATTGTTAAATCCAAATAT